CCCTCGAGCCATCACTGTGGTGATCACCCGCCCTACTGACCTGATGGCTCTGTTCATCCCATTGCTCTCCCAGTCACCCCAGTCTGGGCACAAGTTGACCTCCTGGGGCCCATTAGCTGCTGGAGACGGTTCTTCAGGCCACGTGGCTGGTTGAATATTTATCCAGCGCCGTGTTGTCTTGCCGAACGCTGCTGGGTGCTATTTCCATCCCCCCATCCCATCTAATGGAAGCCCAGGGTTTCTGGGCTGATGTGGCTGGGACAATTCTCCATCCCCCCATCGAGGCAGAGGCTGTCAGTGGGGCACAGAGCCCTGTGGTGCTGCAAGAATAGAGAAACCAGCATTTCATGATTGTTTTCCAGCACTATCTCTTAAAAAGCTGGATTTTTGTAGAGGTACCTCTGTCCTGCAGGATTACAATATCATGTTGGGGGGGCACAGGAATTTATCCGAGTCGTGGGATGCAAATCCCTGGCCTGATGCTGCAGGAGGTCAAACGAACCCCTGGATACATCCCTGGCATCAAGCTTGGCAAAGGCGTGAGCGCCGCAGGGACGGGTGCTAACGCAGGGGAGGCATCAGCGCCGAGATGTTCCTGGCAGCCCATCAAACGCTGAGGTCGGCCAACCAAAACCACAACGTGCCTCGGGACCACGGTTTCCTCTCCTTCCCTGGAGCAGAGGAAAGTGGGCTTTTCTCACTGGTCGGTGCCAAGTACTCATTAGACGAGCAAATTTTCCCGAGGAGCCTGGCCAAGCTGAAACGGGCTTCAGTTGAAGAACGAGTCCTGATGCCGGATTTATTCTGCAAAATGCATTGCCAGGGGATGTGTCCGTTCCGGAGGGAGGAGGTGGATGGGCTCCTGCACCAAATTTCCACCCCTAAGACAGAGATGTTAGATTTACTCCAGGGCTCACCAGCCCAGGAGGTGGTGGAGACCACCCCCAGCAAAGCCCCTGCATCTAGGGCAGACCCATGGCCACACCGCAGCAGTAGGGTATCAACCCCCAGCAGCTTGGTGACCCTTCCCCAAAGGCAGTCTCCACCTCAAGCCCCTCGCACAGGGAGATGAAGCACTTCTACTCTTGGTTTTGGGAGGTGATGGGTGGGAGGGTGCACCAAAGGCAGCAACGGGGGTCTTTGCCGTGCGGTGTGTTGCTTCTAGCATCTTCCTTTCCCTGGCATAGAGTAATCCCTGTATCTGCGGAGGGTCCTTGGCATGAAGAAGGTTTAGCCATCTCCAGGGCTCCACCAGCCATGGCCTGGATGCACCCCTTCCCTCATGCATTTCTTGGATGTGTTGTTGCGTTGGGGTGAGGATGACCCCACAGTGGCAAAGTCACCACGCGCTACGCCCAGAGAGTGGACCACCCCCACACCCAGGTCCTACCGGAGCCCATCACCAGCACCTCCCCTCATTGGCCAATGTGGATTTCTTCCCGCAGAGGGTGGGGAGGCACTGGGACAGGGTGCCCAGAGAAGCTGTGGATGCCCCATCCCTGGGAGTGTCCAAGGCCAGGCTGGATGAGGCTTGGAGCAACCTGGTCTAGTGGAAGGTGTCCCTGCCCATGGCAGGGGGTGGCACTGGGGGGGCTTTGAGATCTCTTCCCACCCAAACCATTCCATGATTCTATGGAGGTCACCCCCAGAGCTCGGATGTGTCCCCTACAAAGGGTCCCCCAAACTACAGCCCCGTTACCCACCTCCCAGAGGTCAGCGGTGCTCAGATAAGGCGGTTTCATCCAAACCCTTCTCCAATAAATAGCAAACTGCGCTGGCAGCAAGCTCAGAATTTCTATGGTTTATGGGATTCTCTGAAATTTATAGGAAACAGACACCGACTGAGGCAACGGTCCAAGCCCGGGATTTAAGTAAAGGCCTGTTTTTCTGCAGCACTAGTCTTACACTTCCATAACGACTTTCTTCTGAGCACGGGAGAGCTATCGGCTGCCCGGGAAACGCAGCCTGTCCTGGCGGGGGTGGACATCTGGGGTGGATGAGCCTCCTCAGCCAAAAATCCCGGGTCAAACCATCTTGCAGAGATGATCTGACCTGATCAAGGGATGGCTTCTCTCTGCAGCAGAGTCCTGAGTATTTCCCCCTGTTGATATTTTCCTATCCTTGATGCATTTCCCCCTCAAAATTACTCCAGTGGAGTATTATTTTCCTCATTTCCAAATGGGGAAAATTATTCTGGAAAGTGAGCGTACATCAGTCTTTCATGGAGAACAGAGAACACGTTCAGGAGGAAACAGCAGTCAATGAGCCAAGGTAGGGATTGCTAATTATTAGATAAATCCAGGGCATTAAGAGAGGTCCCCTTCCTACACACCCCGTGCGGGCAAGAAGGAGGTTTTTAGTGCCTTGCTGAGGGCAGAGCACGTTTCTGCCTGCGAAGACGGGGTTTTGCAGCTTCTCCTGGGGCTTGCTCCAGGACCACGGTGGTCCAGCTCACCCTGCAGACCCAGGGGCTCTTTCCACCCTGCTCAGGGTTGTCCTCTCCCATGAGCTTTGCAGGTTTTGCCTCTCTCAGTAGCACTGATTTTCAGAGCAGGGGGGATGCCCAGAAGCAGGACATTGGTGGGGACTGAGCTTCTGCCATGGGAGGAGCCGGCGGGGTCACTTCTCATGGAGCCTGTGCCAAACTTGTGTGCACAGTCCCGAAAAACCAGAGTGAGCTGCAGTGATTCACCCACAGTGGGAAACGGCCGAGCACGGCCTTGACACTCGTTGGGTGAAGGCACCAGGCAGGACCACGTGGTAGGGCCAGGGGTGATGCCAGTGAGGGTGTCTCCTGAGCTCACGGGCTCTGTCCCAGCCCCCAGGGTCTCCCCTCTCCAGCTCATGGGGTCTTTGCATCCAGCTAGGGATGCCTCCGGCCCTGACACATCACTGAGCTGGGCTTGACCTCAGGGCGAAGCCAGCGAGCTGTGCCACCGAAGGGGCTGCCCTCTCTGCTCACTGGAGAGCTTCCCTGGGGAAAAAGACAGGTGGTGAGATGGGAAAAAGAGAAAAGAAGGAGAAAAGCCTTCCAGGAGGGCGAGGGAATGAAGGGACTTGGAGGACAGCATGGGAAAAGCCAAGGTGGACAGGGAAGGATAAGGCAGAGGGATGGGATGTGTTTTAAAGCACCCTTGTGAGTCTGCTGGCATTGTCCATACAGTGCTGCTTTCTTTTAAAGGGTCTTTCCTCTGCCAGATGTATATGAAGCTAAAAAAACCCCAATAAATAAACAACCCAGCTTAAACTTAATGCAGTAGCACAGCTCAGAGGTGGGGAGGATCCAGAACGGTGTGCT